ATATATATATATATATATATATATATATATATATATGTTTAACATTTTGCTCTTTTAACTTATTCCGAGAGAAATAACTTATTTTATTTACAAATCTTTTACACATTGCTTTTGGCAATTCTTTTTTTACATTTTTAAAGAATGGATTACACAATTAATTATTTATTAATTATAAATAGACACTAATTAACATAAATAAAAGCTTATACTTACTGTGAGAGATTATTGATGTCATTAGCAAAGATTATATATATCATTTTTTATTATTTAATAAATATCTAAATTATTTAAATTAAATAATTTAATAAATATCTAAATTGTGTAAATTAAATTGTTTTGAGATTTTATATATTGTTTTTAATATTGGGGCAAGTTTTAAGTAAAGTATATTGCAGTAAATTCATATTTCGATCATTTTCAACATTTACTAAAATATTTCGAATGTTTTATATTTTTACGCTAAATAATTATTGCCAGTTATATTGCGGTGAAGTGTGGCGGTTTCGATACTTCGATAGTTTCCATATTTCGAGAATCGCAACAGCGCTCTTTGCCTAGTAAATTTCGCGATCAATCGTGACTCGGTGGTGGATTGCGAGGTCATTTTCAGATCGCTTCGTATACTTCTCGCGATTATTACCGTTTAAAAGTGAGTGCGGCATGCGAAGAATTATCGAAAATATCGCGAATAAAGTGTTCTTTCTGTGTATCATATGTACAATCGTTATTTATCGTTTCGAAAATAGTAATCTGATATTTCGAATCGCGGTCGGTCATGGAACGTGTCGCGACATATTTTTTTTGCGGTTATTACTGTTTACAGACGAATTTCGCGCGCGAAGAATTCTCGTAAAGTATCAGATATTTGTCATAATCGCTTTTATATGCCAGTATCGCAATATTTTGATATCGACAATATGTGCTTATCTGTGTGTCCGCGAAATCGTACACAATCGTAATCTTCTTTATATAATATATTTCGTGCCGGTTTTTTTTTTCATTAAAATGTAAAGTTTGAAAATTTATGATGGTACACAATTATTGCCAGGTATATACATGCTGTTATTTTATAATTAATTACGTAAATATTATTGAAATCAATATTTTTTTGTATTCTCTTTACCAAGAAATGTTATTATATTTAATTTAATAAACTTTAAAAAAAGTTTAAAAAGAGTTTGCCCGAGTAAATAGACAATTATCGCTGTTCTTTCAAAGCAATGTTTGTTATAGCTATTGTGTAGTGGATACATAACGTAATTTACATGCATAATTTGTGTTTAACAGGTTTCTAATATTACGATGCTGATATCGCAAAACTAAAATCCCGCTGCCGATATCACGATACTGACATTAGGATGCTGACATCACGATGCTGATATCCCGATGCTGACATTTCGATGCTTGTTCTATATCAGGATTCCAGGATGGGAGGCATCTTTCGGTAAGTTTATTTTTCAATGTATTTTAAATAAAAAATTTTATCAACACCGAAAGTTTTATTACATTAATACGATAAAGAAAGTTACGAAATATATATATATATATATATATATATATATATATGCAAATGGGAAACATTATCCAAGATTGTGCAAATATTAGCTAAATTAATATGTCAGTCATGCCAAAATTTGTATCACTTTATATCTATATGTAAATTAAATAAAAAAAGACATTTTCAAAGACATATTTTTATTATTTAGTATATACTTACATATTTCAAACAGATTTTTATATTTTTAATTATATTTGCAATAACAAAAATGATATTAAAATGCAAAAATCTATATAAAATAAATATTTAAAAATATTTGTTTAATATAGATCAGTAATGTACAATAATTAATATAATATAAATGATAACATTAATAAAAGGTAAGTGGTTGTGATATGATAAATAATAGACCGTGTTTATTTAACATCGCACATTCAATTTATTAGAATTAGAAGAGTAATGCATTCAGTCGGCAGGGAAAATACAGTCCTATGATAATTATATATTATAGATTATAGAAGTTTGGCACTCTCAGATCAGTTCACTTTTGGTGGATGTAAAAAAGCCTAACGGTTCGTCTTTAGCATATTCATGAATCAACGAACGGGTGTCTCTTTCTGTCTTTTTCAATAAAACGTCTTTAATTAGAATCTATTAATGCATATGTTATATGAATCCATGGAACGGTACATTCTACGTAGTAGTGTACGCATTATAATATATACATATATATATATATATAAATCGTTATGATCGTTATAATCAACATTCACGTTAGACTGCTTTATTAGATACGCTTCTAAGATTTTAGGGAAATTGCCATTAATCCACTTTCGGCCAGACATTTGCTTGAATTCCCGCGAAAAAATACGAAATTTCTTCTTTGTCAATACATCGTAGTTTTACAATCAATTTGAGTCAATAATAAACCTGCCTTTTCTCTTTTGAGAGAGACGAGGCTTTAAATTACTAGTAGCAGTAAAGTAGGGAGGCACGATGTATCTAGGTCTGACAATAAGTGATACGGATCTTTTGATAAAGAGATCCCTGCTTTTTTTTTAATACTCATTATTATTACTAACATATAGAAAATTTTATATGGCCGTATAATTTTAATATAAGAGAATAATCCCCCATTAGTTTACATGAATTAGAAATTGTACTATTTATTATTCGGTCTGATTAATTTATATAGTTTGATTGACATTGATAATATTAATATTATATTTTTGTTTATATATCGTTGATATATAATTTTTATTTTATAACGGTGTCTAATGCGTTTAGTGTTAATTCTCTTCCTCCCCGATTTTTTCTTTACATAGTTATTTTTGTAAACTAAATGAAAATTTAATGCGGTTCTACAGTGTTCGACATTGGCCGGAAGCGGATCTATTAAGGTTACCGTGAGTTTGCGCAAGAGCAACATAACATAAAATTCTTTTTAAGATTCAACGAACTCGCCAACATACATCTTTGTCAAGAAATTTCTCTGATACTGAAACCGCGCACGCACAACCCCGTTCATCGCTTATGAATTACGAACTCGCCGCGCATCAACGTTTCGTAGTAGGAAAGATCTACTCTCGTACTCGTATAAAAAACGGCTTATAGATTTCGATCGTTACTGATAATTTGCATTTAAGTTACGTTAAATAATTGTATTATTGGCGTCGACTAATAATCTATCGTTCGCTATAGAAACGAAACAGATAATTGTGAAAATTTCATAGGCGATTCTGTGTAATTTAAAGATAATCATCGCGATGAAAAACATGTTGAAAAAAATGATTCGCGGCAATAACGCTATCAATTAATAATTGCTTGATCTAATACTAATTTATGATAATTATTTGACACAATTTTTTTATCTGCTATATGGCATGTTATTAATGAAATAATTCAGCGTATTTCACCACAGCTAAAGTCTTTCACTAAAGCTAAAACGCGCGATATTGCATTGTCACAAAAAGATTGTTTCGGCGACTTGATTTTTTTACGTTTTGAACAGATGTTAACTGGCATTTTACGTTTACTTGCACGGTACGAGCAACATCGAAATAGTCGGAGTAACGATAGAATAAAATGACCGTATGAGAGATTCGTATTGGAGCAAAATAAAAGTTTAACTTGGACAATATACGGCGGTATAAAAGGATATGTCCACACAAACTCGAGTACAGCTAGTATAAATGCATTCATTTGAGTCAAGTGACATTTGCTTTAGTGTCAAGTAACAAGTAACAGGAACATACAAGCGCTCGATTAAATTGTGCGCATTTGATCGTCTTATGATCGACAGTTTGATAAAGTTCTTGTATTATCCTGATTACTCGCGTTTCTATTTTTTTTGTTTATAACTTAGGACAGAGCGAAAGTTCCGCCTTTTTTAAGCCTTAATGCTTCGATTTTATCTGAAATTCATGAGAGCAAAAATCGATAAATGCCATTTTTATAACAATCTTATTGATCTAAATTTACAAAAAGTGTAAAAATGGAAGAAGGTGAAGAACGTAAAAGCGGTTATACGTTTTCTGAAAGTCTGCACTCTAAAACGAGCCAGTAAACCGACGGATCTTTTGCTTATTGTTAGACCAGGATTGAATTTATTGCAAAAGTCTTTAATGAATAATCGATCTGCCTTTTTAATGATCGAATTTATTTCGATCCGCCGGGAGGAAGGGACATAGAATAGATATACGAAAAATCGACGTGTTGTGATTAGTGGAAAAAATGTCAGCAGAGTCAGACATCTTTCAGGCACATTGAGCTCGTGATAGCGGCGATAGTCGTGACATTCAAGGAGATCTAGTTTCCTGTTTATACCGTTTTAGGCTAATAATACACGAGACATTGCGAACTATTTTGGATCGAGAATTATCGATAATTCTCGACCGTTTTCAATCCATAAATCTCCTACAGTCAAGGAGTCCCTTCGCTTTTTTCGATTATAATCGGACGCACCGAAACACATGTCGACGATCACTAAATTCTCGCAACAGCATCGAATGTCATCTCACTATTATTCGATGCATATACGTCTGGCGCGATGACCTCGAATCTCGACGAACGGTTTCCATAAATTCCGTCGCAGATTTCACTTTCCTTAGGCACATTAAGTCCGTGATATCCACGATAGTCTCGATTCTCGCATGAAATACCCCAGAAGACGCTACGGTTTTTTTCGCGTAAACCGCAACGTATTTCTCTCCTGCTAGACCCAGTACTGGTCCCTCCTCAACAACGGGTTCTTCTTGGTCCTTTGAGTTGTGGCCGACTGGCAAGGTAGATCGGAAGTATCGAAGCTACTCCACTCGTCGCCGTCCGCTACCCCATAGGGATACCTGGCGGATACGTCGACCTCTGAGCCGCTTTCCAGAGGACTCAAGGGTATCACTTTACATTGGGGTAACGTTGAGGGCAACACCGGCAGAGGCGTGCTAGCCGTTACACTATTATGATCGTTACCGAAAGGCTTTAAATGCGGGGTAGCAGGCATCAGATGATCCGGCGGTCTGGGAAGCGGCATCACACCGACAGCGGGAGTGGTTTCTGCTTTTTCCTCTTCAGCATGCTTGTATCTGTTGTGCCGGCATCTGATCGTGATAATTACAACCACGCCGAGAAGAAACACGCCGAGCAACATGCCGAGAATTAGTAGATAATCATTGCTCATATTCGGTGCGATCGCCATCTCGCCCTCATGACCGACAGGATCCATCGGACCGCCTAGGGTGATGTTGTCGTCGTCTATGTCGAGCTTGATGCGGAATTCAAAGTTACCTACGGCTGGCTGGAAGATGGACGCCGCAAGAATGAAACTGAAACTGTCCGTGACGCCGTCTATCGACGGTATTTTTCTGCACACCAGATATATCACACCGGAGATAATCTCCTGGTGCGAAAAACGTGTCACTTCCCGTTCGCGCGTATTTCTCTTCTCGCCGGGCGACGAGGAACTCCTGATAACCCTCTTGATCTTGGCGAACTTTGGTTTCCTTACGATAGTATAAAACGGATTGCTCGTCGTTAACTTCGCTAAGGGAGTTGCGTCTAGATGTTGCAAAGTTATTCGATTCTTTTCGCCTGCCAACGCCGTCAATGGATTCATAATAATGAGAGGCGTAACTTTGATCTCGACATGTATATGCTTTTGCACGAAACCGCTCAGTCGCGCCGACAATTCCAAACTGTCGTTTGGCACCGTCATATCCGTTTGCATAAACACTACGCTCTTCGACTGTAGATCGGTCTGCTTGAACATCGACGCGGCGCCGTCCCGCACGTACAACACTCCGAATTTTGGATGTGTCGTAATTTCGTAGATCACCAGATCCTGACGCGCATTCGTATCGAGCTTTATGTCGTTTTCGGAAATGGGCGCCACGTTCGAGCCTTGCTGCAAACTAATCGGACCAGGCACCGTCACATTCAGTCGTATAGGTAAAACGTGGACGTTGAAGACGGTATAAATCGGATTGTAACCACCGTCCCAGACCCTGAAGTAGAAAGAAGCGGCCTGCAGCGTTCCATTATGCTCGTATACCACTCGATTGGAGTCTATGTCGTACTGGGTAAATTTGTCCACCTGGCGTACCTCCGACGTGTTTTGATCGAAAGGTAACAGCAATAATCTACCGAATGTCGGTCCTGAAATCACGTCATATGTGATATCCTGCGGTGGAGTATCGGGATCGGTAGTCAAAAGATTCTCCCGAGTAATGGTCTGATTTTGATTCTGCACGACCGAGATATATGGAGTGTTGGTGACGAGTTTGAAAGGCTGATCGTTAATCGGCTCGATAATGACGGGAATACTGGTGTTGCAAAGTAACACATGACCGGGTATTAAATATAGCGAGAAATAAATGCGATCTTCCAGGGTATCCGAATGATCGTGGTAGTAAGCGATCTTTCCGCCCTCGATTTGCGGTTGCATAAAGGTGGTCACATTCAAATCCGGCAAAAGCATCACGTGCCCGTGACTAGGCTGGTGAACTAATTTCGATAATACCGCTGGATTCTCAATCCCGGCGTTGATCTGTAGAAACGATACGATGCCGCTAATGTTCATAACGACTTCGGCGGAGCCACCCTCCACGACTCTGACGTTTTTCATAGAGATATATCGGTCCAGGCCGCCGCTCGAAACTGATATATCTATTTGGAAAATCTGCGATATAAAAAGACATTGTTAAAAGTAAATAATTGCAAAATTGAGATAAAAATTATCTTTAATTAAAAATCATTAGAAATGTTAAATATCTTATTAACTTACTGAAATCATATAAATAATGTTTTTTGTATACAATTTATTAGACTATAAGATACGCTAATAGAAGATAACGTATTCAACGATAAAGATTAAATGTTTAATTATATTCTCTATACCTGATTTATTAAAGTTCCAGCGAAGTGCGTTTCGACGTCAAACGTAAAAGAGTCATTGGCCGCTAAGTCCATGAATTGCTTGGTGTGCTCATAAATCACTTTACTATTGTTTATATCTTTCTGAGTAAATCGCTCGACCTCGAGCCATACCCCTTCACTTGTCTCCATTATAACTTTGCCTAAATGAGGCCCGTTTCGCACAGTGTATCTAATCTCTCTCGCTTCGTCAGAACACGTCGTTAATAAAAGCTTGTCGGATATTAATTTCTTAGTAAGAGGAAAGACATTAAGGGGCATATTGTGTTCAATGCTTAGACGAACTGGCTTTGTGGTGATTAAGATCGTGTAAAATTCCGTCGTGTGTACGCCATCACTTAATATGAAATTAAATTCGCCATCAGATCCATCTGAAAAAAATATTGCACATTTTCACTTTTTTGTATTGTGTTAAAAATTTGCAATTTTATTAATTATAAAAATGTTGATAAAAATATTAATTTTATTTCCTGAAATGATTTCCATATCAGAAATAAAAATTAAAAGATCTTTATACATTACTTTATATATTTTAATATCAAATTAATTAACCATTTTTATTACTCAAAATTAATCTTATAATTATTAATAGTTGACATTATATTTATATAATTGTAAAAGTAATCCGGTTAGTCACAAATTAATTTCTGAATATTATAATATACTTACTCGTATGTGTAAACATCACTTGCGATTCGTTGATTTGACTCTGCGAGAAAGTATAGATGTCTATTTCGGGTGCAATGGTCAACGAGATGTATCCGTTTCTCACTCCAGTAACATTAAATATTATATCATTCGGGGAGGTATCATTGTCAATAGCCGCCAAGTTTGTTGACGTCAAGATAACGGATCCACCTTGCCAAACGTTAAGTTTAGTTCTGTTCACCAGTACAGGAACCTCGTCGTTAACGGGCTGAACAATGATTGGTACGTCAAACGGCTCGCTTATCTTATCACCAGCGGTGACAACCATCTTGAAGGAATCCCACGAAAATTCGTCCCCGTTATGCTTGTATAGTATGACTCCGGCATTCAAGTGCTTCTGCGAAAATTTCTTCACTTGAGTATTCTTCGTGGAATCGAGAATCGTACCGTGCCGCGGCTTCTCCGTTATTCTATAATCCGTCATTTTGCCGGCGTAATACGGCGTCACGACCAAGAAGTTCGATTCACTTAGCATCACG